ACACATAATGATTTATTAGACATACAGTGATGACTTAAAAATAAAACGACTGCTTGTTGACTGTGATAAAGGCACTGGATTATGAGCTGTCTTGTTTGCTAAATAAACAAACGAAATAGGCAGTGACATGGCGAGAGCTTGAGACTATAAGGCTCTATCTGCATTTTTGTCAAAATGTAGTTATTGCCATAGCCTTGTTCTGTTCAGTGTTCTCTACCTATATAGACGTTGAATTGACTTCTGTGCCCAGTGGGATGTTTTCAGACTGTGTTTTACTTTCCTTGTCTCTCTGTCGCTTTGTCACAACTAGGTTGTGTTCATTTAGCACCAAACTGAAGAAAACGGACTGTTCCCAAAAATATTTTCTATGTTTTCCGTTGTGTGCCCTTATGAACACTGCCCTGATCTGAAGGGTTTAGAGAAGTGAAAGCAATATGAATGAGATCCAGCTTGTCGTTGGTTTCTCCATTTCAGAGGCCATGAAAGGAAGATTGGCATAGCCAAAACTTGACAGATATTGGTCTGCAGTGTCATGAGTAGTTAAGTATGCACCCAAGTCCATTTTAATGACACCACATCAAACACCAGTGGATAATTGGGCAATGTCTGAAATATTAATCAACTCAAAGTCTGCATAGTAAAAATCAAGGACTCTGAATAAATGAAACAAACAATAAAATAAGATGTTCATCATTAGCTTAATATATTACACTATGCCCATATGAACCATTAATATAGAAATTAAGATCTTACTTTAAACAAATATTGGATATTTTTGTCACTCATTGGATGCAGCCACAAAGATAGCCATAGCTTCAGGACAATAGCCTACAAGGTTTTTTCTTACCCAGTGATCTACTTTGTGGGCATGCATTCTTTCTCAATGGCCACAGAGGGGCAGTACATGATTTGTCTTGTTTTTGGTACCATGGCGATAAACTAGCTTGGAAATAGACTTGATTTGCCAGTCCAAGCTGTAGGCCAATTTTGGGACATAATACCACAGATGGAGGGGAAGTTAGTTATAAGCAGAGCCATTCATGGCATATTTTCAAGCCATTTTGCGAGTTAACTCAGGGCTGTTGTAATTAGCCATTACAATGAATAGGCTAACAGGCCTACTGCTTATCTACATAATATCCGGTTTATCAACGTTTACCATTCAATTGTTATCACGTTGGATGATTGATGTGGACTATTTTCCCTGGAGCATTTGACAGAATATCTGGAAAAGACGTTTGAGGCGGTGTAGTGTGGGGTGGAGCTCCCCGGCACGCACCAATTCAGTTAATCCAGTTCCGGTGCAAGAGCCAGAGACCACTAATAAAACGTCCCACAATTCTCCCCTAATGCTTTTCCATTTCACTCACTCACAGCCCCTCCCTCCACACACAAACTCACCTCTTTTTCCAATAGGCCTCCCTCCCAAAAATTTTAACACATGAGTTTAAACTGCTCTGTATTTTATCCCAAGCAAGGTGAGAGAGGGTTAGTGCACTGGCGCCAAATCAGAACAGGATTCTGATAGGCCCAGGCAGGCGTGTGCCTATCATCACATGGCACATAATTTTGAAGCATGGAACCAGAGAGGAAGAGGCGAAGCGAGAGGGTTTACTCCGCCCAAAATCTTTCCATGGAAATAAGACCACGATGTGAGGAATTTTTGTATCAGTAAGCGAGTGTCGAAATTCAGTAAGCGAGTGTCGAATTTGGCCAACAAAAAATGTAGTTGCTAATTTCCTACTTGAGACTTATTTGATCGAATAGAAGTTTCGTAATGGTTAGGTTGTTATGAATGCACTGATGTAAGTGGAAGCACCTGGCATTTCGGCAACTTAAAAAAAATACGACTTTATATCAGAGTTGTGCCTGTTGTTCACACGCGTATCTGCCCTCTCATTTGCTGAATGGTCCCACCTGATCTCTCCTCCTCCCCCCACTGCCTTGCATCAAAAGACAGTAAAGTGCTTCCATCTTTGAGGACATGTATTTCCATTGTTAGAGCGGTCACTCGACTATCTTGTCAATATAAAATATCATCTTTGATGTAACTGAGCTACAATGTGTAAACATATTAGTGCTGTTGGATTACTATTACAGCGACATTTCTTGATTTCTTGTTGGGGAAAAAATTGATTATTGTGTACTGTTTGACATTTAATGCATTGTTAGGAGCTAGTAACATAAGCATTTCACTGCACCCGCTACAGCATCTGCTAAACTGTGTACGTGACCAATAAACTTGGATTTGATTTGATATGCACACCGTACTGTGCTCAAACCCAAGTTGGAGACACCCCCATAGATTTGTTGAGACAGATTCAGCTCGGTAATTAGGCATATGGTCCTCAATACAGACATAGGCTACATCTTGTGCGTCACTGCGCACGTCACATCGTATCTGCACATGGGGAGAGCGCGGGACTCAGAACTAGTGTGTGTGCGCGCGTGTGTGTGTGTGTGTGATATGTCAACCCACTAAGCACGGACGGACACTAGCGTCTTTTGGACTTCTTTTTTTTGTCTATGTTTGGTTCAGATTTCATCCCGTCCTGTACTGAACTCTACTGTACTCTACTGTACTCTACTGAATTAAACTATACTGTATAGCACTGTACCGTACTGTAATGTACTCTACTCTACTGAATAAAACTCTACTGTCCTGTAACGTACCGTATTGTATTCTACTGTGCTCTACTGTACTGAACTGCACCGTACTGTACTGTGCTGTTCAAACTTTGAAACATAGCTTAGATGTCTATGATTCGTTCAGATTTGTTCTGGTCTGAAGCAACTTAGTCAGTGCATTCAACTTAGGTATTTAAACAACAAGTTATCACAGTCATAACAAGAAACAAATATTTATGTAACCGTTACTGAGAATGTTATTGTAGTTGAAGTGGTCTGTTGATTTATTCTATAGGTTGGACTACTTTGAACATCATCACTGCCGGTTTTAAAGCTTAAAAAAAAGCTAACATAAGTGCATGTGACAGATGGGAGCAATAATAAATATTCTATATTGCAATCTTCAGTTGGCTCCTCTTTCCTATATTAAATGGATTTAACAATAATTATGTCGATATAATGCTTACTTCATTGAGAATGTGCCTTCAGAAAGTATTCACACCTCTTGACTTTTTCCAAATTTTGTTGTGCTACAGCCTGAATTTAAAATTGATTAAATTGCTATTTTTTTGGTCACTGGCCTACACACAATACCCCATAATGTCTGTAGAATTATGTTTCATTTAAAAAAAAACAAATTAATAAAAAAGGAAAAGCTGAAATATCTTGAGTAATTTAGTATTCAACCCCTTCGTTAAGGCAAGCCTAAATAAGTTCAGGAGTGCATATTTGCTTAGTTCCATAATAAGTTGCATGGACTCACTCTGTGTGCAATAATAGAGTTTAACATGATTTTTGAATGACTACCTCATCTCTATACCCCACACATACAATTATCTGTAAGGTCCTTCAGTCGAGCAGTGAATTTCAAACACAGATTCAACCACAAAGACCAGGGAGGTTTTCAAATGCCTCGTAAAGAAGGGCACATTGGTAGATGGGTAAAAATAAAAACAGACATTGAATAACTAATTGACAGAGTGAAAAGAAGGAATCCTGTACAGAATAAAAATATTCCAAAACATGGATCCTGTTTGCAACAAGGAACTAAAGTAATACTGCAAAAAAATTATCAAAGCAAATCACTTTTTGTCCTGAATACAAAGTGTTATTTTGGGGGCAAATCCAATACAACACATTACTGAGTACCACTCTCTATATTTTCAAGCATAGTGGTGGCTGCATCAGGTTATGGGTATGCTTGTAATCGTTAAGGACTGGGGAGTTTTTCAGGATAAAAAATAAATGGAATGGAGCTAAGCACAGGCAAACTCCTAGAGGAAAACCTGGTCCAGTCTGCTTTCCACCAGACACTGGGAGATGAATTCACCTTTCAGCAGGATAATTACCCAAAACACAAGGCCAAATCCACACTGGCCGAGATACAATTTTGACTTACATTTATTTGAAGTCCTGAAAATGGTTGTCTAGCAATGATCAACAACCAGTTTGACAGAGCTTGAAGAATTTAGAAAATAATAATGGGCAAATGTTGCACAATCCAGGTGTGGAAAGCTCTTAGAGACTTACCCAGAAAGACTCACAGTTGTAATCGCTGCCAAGGGTGCTTCTACAAAGTGTTGAATCAGGGGTGTGAATACTTATGTAAATGTGATATTTCTGTATTTCATTTTCAATACATTTGCAAACATTTCTAAAAACATGTTTTCACTTCGTCATTATGGGTATCATGTGTAGATGGGTGGGAAAAAAAACATATTTAATCCATTTTTAATTCAGGCTGTAACACATAAAAATGTGAACTAAGTCAAGGGGTGAATACTTTCTGAAGGCACTGTATGTGCAGTTGAAATTTGGCCATACAGTCAATGACCAAAAATAAATATTTTCAACTTCTGTAGGTTAAATTACCTGTTTTCTATTTCATTCAGACCCAAAAAGTAACCTGATTTAAACATCTGGAAAATATATTTTTTTAAACATCCAGAAAATACGTATTTTCAGCATCAAGGAAATTCATATTTTCTCATTTCATTCAGAACCGAAAATTAACCTGATTTCAATGTTCAGAGAAGATGTCTTTTCAAAGCTTCATTTAGAACCTAAAATGAACATATCTTTTAGATGTCTTTTCAATGTCCCTCCACTACATATGACATGTTATTGATTCAGTACATGCCGGCTAAAATCTTTATGGTTATGTAATGGAGCGTAATGATTTAATAAGGTGATGGAGGCTGGTACACGGCGGCTAAAGAGGGAATGATTGGTGACTGCCCCGATGTGCCAGTGGGATAAATCAAATGCAATTGAAGCAGATGCACACCTGCGCTGTCATTTCGTTTTTTAATTAACACATGATTTTCTATTCGAATACACTTTGGCTGTAAACCCAGCCCCATATCTCTCATGTCCGATGTTATGCTATTTGTCCGTTATAGCCTACAAAGACACCAACTCATCTCGTCGGACAGAGACACGTAGGCTACTGTAGGCTAAACACAAGACCGCCGGTGAATGACAGGGACGAGAGCCCTTTAACCCCTTGCCATCTGGAACAATCAGCGTGGAATCGGAACTAAAACAATGGCTAGAGGGCGTATTCTTGACGGCGATCTATAACATACTGCATGTTTTGATGTTGGTAGGCCTACCCGTGCCGCCTCCTCCTCAGTGCACTGCTTGAACAACGTAACAATAAATGGTGTGCGCTTTCGGCTCCATCGTCTCTGTTCATGATCTATTCGTCCACGGCTCTGCATCTGGCAGACCTGCACAGGACATAGGGTTTTGTGTGGAATTATCAGTGCCAGTGTCATCTGTCTGAGAGCGAGCGAGAGAGAAGGAATCCTTGGCATACACACACGTCGGTGTCTCAATGTGAATTTGAGTGACTGACTGGATTCTTGTGGAGAAGGACAGAACGGATAAACCAATTTTCAGCATCTCACCCATTTGCGCGGAGAGCGGCTTGTGCATGCTCTTCTGGGTTGAGCATCTGACAGCGTCTTTTTCTGCTGGAGCTTGGCTGATCCGAGCGGTCCTTGGTCGGGCATGGAGGGAGCCGAGATGAGCGCCTTTCGGAGGTGTAGTGGGGTGTTTCTGTTGGGATTGTGTTGCGTACTAATGGAACTGTGGAGGCTCGGGGCCGCCTGCCCCGCGTCCTGCACCTGCAGCGGAGCCAGGATCGCCTGTGTGGACCAGGAGCGGGGTATCATGGCTTTCCCCGTGTTGCAGTCGGAGCTGGAGATGGACAACATTACAGACATGTGAGTCACTGTCCATGATCCATCACGGGACCCAACATATAGGCCTAGGCCTATAACAGATGGGTCTTCCATGAAATGAGTGCCTTTTGAGTCACTTTGATGTTTTAAGTAGCAATTGTGCACCAATATCGAATTGTAAAAGCCTATTATATTCATTAAATTGTCCTTTAATATAGACCACATGGAGAATTCAATACATCTGAATAAAGATTTGCTAAAGTGCCTCCTGGGAAGATTCGTATCCACATAGTCCCAACATTTCAAAAAATTTACACCATCATTGTAAAGCCCTAGTTATTTTGTTGCTTTGACAGTCATTTCTGAAGATTATTATTTATTTCATGTGGTTAGTGATTCATTTACATATGTCCCTCATTTTAAGGTCAAGCCTGTTACATGAACTGAACTCTAATTTTAATGTAGTGAAACTATTCCTTTTTAATACATATAATAGTCAAACCACAGTGTAAAAGCAGGTGAGCTGGTTCTACTCTTTTTGGCCATGTTCTGGTGTTTTGTGGTGGAAAAGTGAGCGGGTCAAACATAACATGTCAACCCTGTTACCCATAGATAGACAGGCTGGAAATGTTTTAACAAATGTTTTGTTTGTTGTGAAGCTTACTTTCAATTGCCCCTTCCTGTTACACACAACAAACTTCAATTTCCCCTGTCATAAGGGGATGTATGGCTGTTTTAAGATGATATCGTCAACCCTGTTACTTTATTTGTTTCTTAATAGGCACTTACTATAGTAATTTGTTTTTTGAGTTGAACATGTGCTCTTTATGACAGAATGTAAACATTTGGTGAAATCAAACGTTTTTTAAAACCAAGTTACACTAGTCAAAAGGCACACAATTGGTGGAATGACCAGATATAACCTGCCTAATCGGCAAACAATAAAGAGGTGAAAAAAGCCTATGCATTTTAGACTATCAATGAGTAGAATTGAAGGTTCAATCGAATGGCCAATTCTCAGTCAACAGTTAGGCTATTTGAATTGGCTAATAAAACTTATTTTATAGTTTTGCAGCAGTGATGTTAGGAAAATAAATGTGTGTGTGTGTGTGTATACACGTGCTCGAGTGTGTATGTCAGTGTGAGAGCGGTGGGCACGACTGGACCGCGAGGGATACTGATCGGTACCGATCGATGCTCCACCGTGACCCCGGGAAGAGGTGTAGTCCTACTCCCGCAGAAACTCAGTAGTCCAAATATTTGCAAAGACAATGCGCCCAAAAGCCTACTATTTTATATTCTGTAATGTTTAAATATTAAGCTATAGTCTAGGCAATTTTTCTTCTATTGTGAAAACAATGAATTGGCCTAGACTAAATACATTTCCACCCACGTTTGAGCTGTTTTCAGATTGATCATAGCCTAAATGAAGACGGAGAATCAAAAGTACAGTTTAGAATGCATAATGTTGAGGACACGATGTGAGCGTCTCTTTGTCAAGACCATAGCAGACCCTTTGATGCATAGCCTCTCCTGTAAGATTACAGTGTAAACATATACAAAAAAGATATATAATTATAAATATATATTTGATAAAATATTGAATTAATGTATTCATCTGGAATAGTCGACTGTTAAAAATGACAAGAAGTAGACGACTTGAGTTAGGGCCTATCCTATATGTTGACATTCATCAGTCTATTTATGAAATTTGTATTTTCAAATGACCTTGACAAAAATCTGGAACAAAAACTCCCATCACTGAAAAACACCTAAACATTCACTGCTGAAAGGGGCCTTACAGATAATTGCATGTGTGGGTGGGGTACAGAGATGAGGTAGTCATTCAAAAATCATGTTAGTAACCTCTAAAAGTCTACTAACCTAACATATGGAATTGTTTTAAGATGGTCATACCATGGATCATTTAGTGATTTGATTCTGAATTCCAGGACCCCTGTAGGTGACAAAGAAGAAGAAACCCGAACACCACTCTTGCTAGGATCACTGCTCTTTAATAAGCTTTACGTATCGGCCTTTACGCCTGTAGGTAAAACAAAATAATCATAAGGAATAAGGTTTTGAAGGGTCTGTCCTACATCTAGGAGATATAACTAAGCTCAGGAAATATATATACTTTTCGGACATACAGTGCATTCGGAAAGTATTCAGACCCCTTAACTTTTTCCACATTTTGTTACGTTACAGCCTTATTCTAAAATTGATTAAATCGTTTTTTCCCCTCATCAATCTACACACAATACCCCATAATGACAAAGGAAAAGCAGGTTTTTAGAAATGCTTGCAAATGTATTAAACATTTATAACTGAAATATCAAATTTACATAAATATTCAGACCCTTTACTCAGTACTTTGTTGAAACACCTTTGGCAGCGATTACAGCCTCGAGTCTTATTGGGTATGACGCTACAAGCTTGGCACACATGTATTTGGGAAGTTTCTCCAATTCTTCTCTGCAGATCCTCTCAAGCTCTGTCAGGTTGGATGGGGAGCGTCGCTGTATAGCTATTTTCAGGTCTCTCCAGAGATGTTAGATCGGGATCAAGTACGAGTGGCTGGGTCACTCAAGGACATTCAGAGACTTGTCCCGAAGCCACTCCTGCGTTGTCTTGGCTGTGTGCTTAGGGTCGTTGTCCTGTTGGAAGGTGAACCTTCGCCCCAGTCTGAGGTCCTGAGCGCTCTGGATGAGGTTTTCATCAAGGATCTCTCTGCACTTAGTTCCGTTCATCTTTCCCTCGATCCTGACTAGTCTCCCAGTCCCTGTCGCTGAAAAACATCCCCACAGCATGATGCTGCCACCACCATGCTTCACCGTAGGGATGGTATTGGCCAGGTGATGAGCAGTGCCTGGTTTCCTCCAGATGTGGCACTTGGCATTCAGGCGAAATAGTTCAATCTTGGTTTCATCAGACCAGAGAATCTTGTTTCTCATGGTCTGAGAGTCCTTTAGGTGCCTTTTAATGAGGAGTGGCTTCCGTCTGGCCACACTACCATAAAGGCCTGATTGGTGGCGTGCTGCAGAGATGGTTGTCCTTCTGGAAGGTTCTCCCATCGCCACAGAGGAACTCTGGAGCTCTGTCAAAGTGACCATCGGGTTCTTGGTCACCTCCCTGACCAAGGCCCTTCTCCCCCGATTGTTCAGTTTGGCCGGGCGGCCAGCTCTAGGAAGAGTCATTTCAGAATGATGGAGGCCACTGTGTTCTTGGGGACCTTCAATGCTGCAGACATTTTTTGGTACCCTTCCCCAGATCTGTGCCTTGACACAATCCTGTCTTCATCCGTGAAGAGCAAACTTCTCCAGCATGCCATTGGCCATCGAAGATGAGCATTTGGCGACTGAAGTCGGTTACGATGCCAAACTGCAGTCAGGTCAAGACCCTGATGAGGACGATGAGCATGCAGATGAGCTTCCCTGAGACAGCTTCTGACAGTTTGTGTAGAAATTATTCGGTTGTGCAAACCCACAGTTACATCAGCTGTCCAGGTGGCTGGTCTAAGACGATCCCGCAGGTGAAGAAGCCGTATGTGGAGGCCCTGGGCTGGCGTGGTTACACGTGGTCTACGGTTGTGAGGCCGGTTGGACATACTGCCAAATTCTCTAAAACGACGTTGGAGGCGGCTTATGGTAGAAATATGAACATTACATTCTCTGTCAACAGCTCTGGTGGACATTCTTGCAGTCAGCATGCCAATTTCATGCTCCCTCAAAACTTGAGACATCTGTGGCATTGTGTTGTGCGACAAAACTGCACATTATATCGTGGCCTTTTTAATGTCCCCAGCACAAGGTACACCTGTTTAATGATCATGCTGTTTAATCAGCTTCTTGATATGCCACAGCTGTTAGGTGGATGGATTTTCTTGGCAAAGGAGAAATGCTCACTAACAGTGCATTTCAGCTCATGAAACATGGGACCAACACTTCACATGTTGCATTTATATTTATATTCACTGTACATATTTTATTTAACCCCTTTTTTGTGGTCACAAACCTACTTCCATACTTCCATAACATTTTAAAACCGGTACTGGGTTACCTTCAGTGAGTCCTGTGACACTTGTGGGGGTCATAGAGCAAAACGAGTCTCCCCTTTCCATAGTCGGGTCATATTAGTTTGTAGCCCAAACGGTTCGGATGCTACAGACAGAAGTTGGCACATTGACAGTACCGACTTCAAACGAGTCCCGTGGGGGTCGTATTAGTTTGTAGGCCAAACCGTTCAGACGCTACAGACGTTTTTATGAGAGGACCGATTTTCGGGATGTCTCCTGGTCTGACAAACAGCGCTGTAGCTCTGCTACTTTCCACAGCAGATGCGGAAGGCCGACATAGGCTGATGTGGTGGATTGAGATGCAGCCCATACAAAAAATGATATCTCTAGTTTAAACAGACAGATTTTGATGGGGATTTTTAAATATTATGTTAATTACATTGGCGCATGGGTGCGTCAATCGACTCTTAAGAATTTATATCTGTTGAAATGTGCTGCTGTGCATCTGTTGTTCACTGGGCTTACTGCCCCTACTTCTGTTATCTAACCTTTTTTTCTCCATTTCATTTTTGACAGATATATTGCAAATCAGAGTAGCTTCTCGTCCATCAATGACAAAGACCTGCATTATTACCGGAACCTCACAAATCTGTAAGTCTGTTATGTTATGTGATATCTTATACTTGTGGTCATGATGGGGCCCAGATTGTCACTGGTCTAATAGTGCAATATGATCATGTTTTTGTGTGTATTTGCTTTGCAGAACTGTGACTAACAGCCGGCTGACCTATGTGTCTCGACTGGCTTTCCAGAACAACCTCAAACTTCAGTATCTGTGAGTGGCTTCTATAGGCCTAAGGCAACATTTACAGTGGGGAGAACAAGTATTTGATACACTGCCGATTTTGCAGGTTTTCCTACTTACAAAGCATGTAGAGGTCTGTAATTTTTATCATAGGTACACTTCAACTGTGAGAGGCGGAATCTAAAAAAATCCAGAAAATCATATTGTTTGATTTTTAAGTAATTAATTTGCATTTTATTGCATGACATAAGTATTTGATCACCTACCAACCAGTAAGAATTCTGGCTCTCACAGACCTGTTAGTTTTTCTTTAAGAAGCCCTCCTGTTCTCCACTCATTACCTGTATTAACTGCACCTGTTTGAACTCGTTAACCTGTATGAAATACACCTGTCCACGCACTCAATCAAACAGACTCCAACCTCTCCACAATGGCCAAGACCAGAGAGCTGTGTAAGGACATCAGGGATACATTTGTAGACTTGCACAAGGCTGGGATGGGCTACAGAACAATAGGCAAGCAGCTTGATGAGAAGGCAACATAAGTATTGCATGACATAAGTATTTGATACATCAGAAAAGCAGAACTTCATATTTGGTACAAAAACCTTTGTTTGCAATTACAGAGATCATACGTTTCCTGTAGGTCTTGACCAGGTTTGCACACACTTCAGCAGGGATTTTGGCCCACTCCTCCATACAGACCTTCTCCAGATCCGTCAGGTTTCGGGGCTGTCACTGGGCAATACAGACTTTCAGCTCCCTCCAAAGATTTTCTATTGGGTTCAGGTCTGGAGAATGGCTAGGCCACTCCAGGACCTTGAGATGCTTCTTACGGAGCCACTCCTTAGTTGCCCTGGCTGTGTGTTTCGGGTCGTTGTCATGTTGGAAGACCCAGCCACGACCCATCTTCAATGCTCTTATTGAGGGAAGGAGGTTGTTGGCCAAGATCTCGCGATACATGGCCCCATCCATCCTCCCCTCAATACGGTCGTCCTGTCCCTTTTGCAGAAAAGCATCCCCAAAGAATGATGTTTCCACCTCCATGCTTCACGGTTGGGATGGTGTTCTTGGGGTTGTACTCATCCTTCTTCTTCCTCCAAACACGGCGAGTGGAGTTTAGACCAAAAAGCTCTATTTTTGTCTCATCAGACCACATTACCTTCTCCCATTCCTCCTCTGGATCATCCAGATGGTCATTGGCAAACTTCAGACGGGCCTGGACATGCGCTGGCTTGAGCAGGGGGACCTTGCGTGCGCTGCAGGATTTTAATCCATGACGGCGTAGTGTGTTACTAATGGTTTTCTTTGAGACTGTGGTCCCAGCTCTCTTCAGGTCATTGACCAGGTCCTGCCGTGTAGTTCTGGGCTGATCCCTCACCTTCCTCATGATCATTGATGCCCCACGAGGTGAGATCTTGCATGGAGCCCCAGACCAAAGGTGATTGACCGTCATCTTGAACTTCTTCCATTTTCTAATAATTGCGCCAACAGTTGTTGCCTTCTCACCAAGCTGCTTGCCTATTGTCTTGTAGCCCATCCCAGCCTTGTGCAGGTCTACAATTTTATCCCTGATGTCCTTACACAGCTCTCTGGTCTTGGCCATTGTGGAGAGGTTGGAGTCTGTTTGATTGAGTGTGTGGACAGGTGTCTTTTATACAGGTAACGAGTTCAAACAGGTGCAGTTAATACAGGTATTGAGTGGAGAACAGGAGGGCTTCTTGAAGAAAAACTAACAGGTCTGTGAGAGCCAGAATTCTTACTGGTTGGTAGGTGATCAAATACTTATGTCATGCAATAAAATGCAAATTAATTACTTACAAATCATACAATGTGATTTTCTGGATTTTTGTTTTAGATTCTGTCTCTCACAGTTGAAGTGTACCTATGATACAAATTACAGACCTCTACATGCTTTGTACAGTGGGGAAAAAAAGTATTTAGTTAGCCACCAATTGTGCAAGTTCTCCCACTTAAAAAGATGAGAGAGGCCTGTAATTTTCATCATAGGTACACGTCAACTATGACAAACAAATTGAGACAAAAAAATCCAGAAAATCACATTGTAGGATTTTTAATGAATTTATTTGCAAATTATGGTGGAAAATAAGTATTTGGTCACCTACAAACAAGCAAGATTTCTGGCTCTCACAGACCTGTAACTTCTTCTTTAAGAGGCTCCTCTGTCCTCCACTCGTTACCTGTATTAATGGCACCTGTTTGAACTTGTTATCAGTATAAAAGACACCTGTCCACAACCTCAAACAGTCACACTCCAAACTCCACTATGGCCAAGACCAAAGAGCTGTCAAAGGACACCAGAAACAAAATTGTAGACCTGCACCAGGCTGGGAAGACTGAATCTGCAATAGGTAAGCAGCTTGGTTTGAAGAAATCAACTGTGGGAGCAATTATTAGGAAATGGAAGACATACAAGACCACTGATAATCTCCCTCGATCTGGGGCTCCACGCAAGATCTCACCCCGTGGGGTCAAAATGATCACAAGAATGGTGAGCAAAAATCCCAGAACCACACAGGGGGACCTAGTGAATGACCAGCAGAGAGCTGGGACCAAAGTAACAAAGCCTACCATCAGTAACACACTACGCCGCCAGGGACTCAAATCCTGCAGTGCCAGACGTGTCCCCCTGCTTAAGCCAGTACATGTCCAGGCCCGTCTGAAGTTTGCTAGAGTGCATTTGGATGATCCAGAAGAGGATTGGGAGAATGTCATATGGTCAGATGAAACCAAAATATAACTTTTTGGTAAAAACTCAACTCGTCGTGTTTGGAGGACAAAGAATGCTGAGTTGCATCCAAAGAACACCATACCTACTGTGAAGCATGGGGGTGGAAACATCATGCTTTGGGGCTGTTTTTCTGCAAAGGGACCAGGACGACTGAAAGGAAAGAATGAATGGGGCCATGTATCGTGAGATTTTGAGTGAAAACCTCCTTCCATCAGCAAGGGCATTGAAGATGAAACGTGGCTGGGTCTTTCAGCATTACAATGATCCCAAACACACCGCCCGGGCAACGAAGGAGTGGCTTCGTAAGAAGCATTTCAAGGTCCTGGAGTGGCCTAGCCAGTCTCCAGATCTCAACCCCATATAAAATCTTTGGAGGGAGTTGAAAGTCCGTGTTGCACAGCGACAGCCCCAAAACATCACTGCTCTAGAGGAGATCTGCATGGAGGAATGGGCCAAAATACCAGCAACAGTGTGTGAAAACCTTGTGAAGACTTACAGAAAATGTTTGACCTGTGTCATTGCCAACAAAGGGTATATAACAAAGTATTGAGAAACTTTTGTTATTGACCAAATACTTATTTTCCACCATAATTTGCAAATAAATTCATAAAAAATCCTACAATGTGATTTTCTGGATTTTCTTTTCTCATTTTGTCTGTCATAGTTGACGTGTACCTATGATGAAAATTACAGGCCTCTCTCATCTTTTTAAGTGGGAGAACATGCACAATTGGTGGCTGACTAAATACTTTTTTCCCCCACTGTAAGTAGGAAAACCTGCAAAATCGGCAGTGTATCAAATACTTGTTCTCCCCACTGTATCTCAATGTGAAGGCCAAACTAGAGTTCTTACAAAAATAATTGTTTACTGTAAGACAGACAACCCATTGGGCAAAAACTGGTTGAATCAACATTGTTTCCATGTCATTTCAATCAAAAAATGAAATGCGATGACATTGAATCAACGTGGAAAACTGATTGGATTTGCAAAAAGTCTTGAATTTCATCTTTTTTTCACCCAACTTTTAACCTAAATCCATTGACAGGGTGAAATGTTTTGTTGATTTCACGTTGAATTCACATTAGTTGACAACTCAACCAAATGCAAATGAAAACTAGATGTTGAACTGCCCAGGATCAGTTGTTGGAATGGTTGTACAGTTTAGCATTTCTTTTGGATATTTTGTTAGCATTGATAATAATGTTAATTCTGATTGACAGGAATTTGAAAGACAACAACCTGTCATCTCTGTCTTGGAGGATATTTCGACATTTAAACATATCAAATCTGTGAGTTGCTTTTTAAATCAACTGTATTCACTCTTATACTCGTCTGTCTGTCTCTATCTCTGTCTCTGTCTCTGTCTCTGTCTCTGTCTCTGTCTCTGTCTCTCTCTCTCCCTACCTCCCTCTCCCTTTTTAGCTCTCCCCCTCTTTCAGCAGTGTTTTATGTACCCCTGATTGACAATGTGTCATCATGGATCCCAAAAACATTAGTGTGTGTGTGCGTTTATGTGCGCATCTCTTTGTGCTTGTACATGCGTTTATGTGTGCATGTGTGTGTGTTGGTGTCAGTGTGTGTGATTCAACATTCAACGCTGTGTTTCTGTGTGTGTAGGATTCTTTCTGGGAACCCGCTGCACTGTTCCTGTGAGATCATGTGGATGAAGCTATGGCTGGGAGAGGAGGCCGATGCTCAGGAGCTCCAATGTATAGCGGAGGATGGCGGGAGGAAACCCCTGACCAGGCTCAAACTCCCTCACTGCAGTAATGGCCCCACTTCATTTTTTATATTGAAAATGTATCCTTCCCATCCTAATAATGCCCCCCCCCCCACCCCACCCTCCCCCCTGTCAGAGCGGGTTTACTGTCAGAGACATTAGGGTCACAATGGCTTGAGGGAGAATGGTCGTAATGGAGAGTGGGCAACGCTGGACATAGGAGATCCAGTTTCATTAGAGAGAACTTATGTCACGGACAGTCATTCTTTAAAGTGGCTCGTTTGGAACAACATGCCCTCGTTATTCATACCCAGAGAGTCAACTCCCTTCCAACCCTAAACTCAATAGTGTTCTTGCATTGTTTACTTTACAGGGCTTTCCGTAGAGCTTGTATTACAATTCTAAGCCATAGACATAACTCATTTCGAGGTAAGAAAACAGTTAAGGTTGGGTTACAATGTCAGAAAATTATCCCTTTAATGGCTTTGCTGAATAAAGGAAACTGTCCTTAGATTCACATGCTGTATCCTAATGCTACATTTGCCCATTATGCGTACCCACAAACCAAAGCTGGTCTAGGATCAGTTTCCCCCTTCCACTCAGTAACATTCACCAGTGTGCATTAACACAGAGGAACCTGGGCCTGTACTAGTGTGCTCTGGGGTACAGAGGAGACTATATAATGACATTGATAACACTTATTGATCCGGCTGTCCAGCCTCCACTCCATTAGGATGCTATTTTCACCTTCGCCACGGTTACGTGCGGGCCCCTGGAGAGACGGCAGGGGGACTCCGTTATGAGTGACATATGAAGACGACACATGGGAGAGGCGTGTGTACGATACCCCAGGGCTGCCAGGCAGCCAGAAACAATGAGAACCCCCTCAACCCCCCTTTCTCTCTGCCGTTCTCTCTCTGACCATCTCACTTTCAGGGAATCTCTCTGTCGTTTTCAGTTAATCTCTCTGTTCATCTCTCCCTCTCTCTCTCTGTCATCCTGTACTATATGACATCCACAGTTCAGTGCAGTATTTTTGATGTGTTGGATGCAGAGGTTATCTGAGGCTGAGATATGGCCTTCACTGCTGCCTATCAATATTTATATTGGAGATGTTGATGCTGTAGGTTTTACTAGTGTCTAAAATGGGTTACAACCAGTATACAACCATTGTAACCAGTTTAGTCCACGGGGTGTTTTGTTAAAGATGGACACATTGTAAAGGCATACTGTGCCAGCTGGCAGTGCTTGTGTGAGAGGTGCTTAAGATGGTAAGGGCTGATATTGCGCTCTGAGTGCTGAAATGAATCGTTTTCTGGTTTTACAATGATTGAGAGGGTTGCCATGCTGTTAAGAGTCTTGGCGACGTCCCTGAGTGGAGATAAGAGATCTGTCAATTTTATCAGCCAGGACTTTCGACAGACATTGGCCCTTCCTCGCCAGACGCTCCCATGCCATTGGCCACGGCTAAGAGGCAGCCAAGCTTCTGATTGGACACATAGTCAGGTCACAGTCAGGTCACAGTCCCCTCCCCTCCACCGTCGGATGTGTTGTTGTCTCCCTTTAGAGAGGCTCCAGACAGTGTCCAATCAATTTTATCGGAGTTGCGAGACACATGGAGTTGGAATCTGTGTGTGACCACCGCTGTGTGTGTGCTGTGATTTTTAACAAAGATGGTACTGAATCTCCCCTTCGTTGTCGTTGGCAGTGGTTCCCATGGCGACTCTGAGCCCGTCCAAGGTGATGGTGCAGGAGGGTGCTGATATGGTGTTGACATGCAACACCTCCGGAGAGCCCTCTCCTGAGCTCATCTGGAAAATGACCCCACTCATCTCCTACTATGAGGTCAGTCACCACACCGCCCCCCACCAAAAAGCACATGGCCCCGTCTCAAATGGCACCCTATTCATTGTAAATTGAGCTCGGGTCAAAAGTTGTGCAGTATATAGGGAATAGAGTACCATTTTAGACACACCCATGAGTAGGGCCAGGAGTTTTACTGACCACATGACCTGACCAAGAAAAACTCTGTGCCCTTGTTACTAGGGCCTCTAACTTGGGCCCAGATTTTTTCCTATTCAAGTAAAACTCCTGGCCCTACCCATCAGCAGGTGCAAAAATAAGTGGTATTTATTTTAAGCTGGAATCTTTAATGGTGAAACTGCCACGTCTGTTTGCGATATTACAACAACAAATACAGTGAGGGAAGAAAAGTATTTGATCCCCTGCTGATTTTGTACGTTTGCCCACTGACAAAGAAATGATCAGTCTATAATTTTAATGGTAGGTTTATTTGAACAGTGAGAGACAGAATAACAACAACAAAATCCAGAAAAACGCATGTAAAAAATGTTATAAATTGATTTGCATTTTAATGAGGGAAATAAGTATTTGACCCCATCTCAATCAGAAAGATTTCTGGCTCCCAGGTGTCTTTTATACAGGTAACGAGCTGAGATTGGGGGCACACTCTTAAAGGGAGTGCTCCTAATCTCAGTTTGTTACCTGTATAAACGACACCTGTCCACAGAAGCAATCAATCAATCAGATTCCAAACTCTCCACCATGGCCAAGACCAAAGAGCTCTCCAAGGATGTCAGGGACAAGATTGTAGACCTACACAAGGCTGGAATGGGCTACAAGACCATCGCCAAGCAGCTTGGTGAGAAGGTGACAACAGTTGGTGTGATTATTCGCAAATGGAAGAAACACAAAATAACTGTCAATCTCCCTCGGCCTGGGGCTCCATGCAAGATCTCACCTCGTGGAGTTGCAATGATCATGAGAACGGTGAGGAATCAGCCCAGAACTACACGGGAGGATCTCAAGGCAGCTGGGACCATAGTCACCAAGAAAACAATTGGTAACACTACGTCGTGAAGGACTGAAATCCTGCAGCGCCCGCAAGGTCCCCCTGCTCAAGAAAGCACATATACAGGCCCGTCTGAAGTTTGCCAATGAACATCTGAAGGATTCATAGGTGAACTTGGTTTAAGTTTTATTGTCAGATGAGACCAAAATCAAGCTCTTTGGCATCAACTCAACTCGCCGTGTTTGGAGGAGGAGGAATACTGCCTATGACCCAAAGAACACCATCCCCACCATCAAACATGGAGGTGGAAACATTATGCTTTGGGGGTGTTTTTCTGCTAAGGGGACAGGACAACTTCACCGCATCAAAGGGACGATGGACGGGGCCATGTACCGTCATATCATGGGTGAGAACCTCCTTCCCTCAGACAGGGCATTGAAAATGGGTCGTAGATGGGTATTCCAGCATGACAATGACCCAAAACACACGACCAAACACTTCTTGAGCCACCTTCTTGAGTGGCTCAACAAGAAGCACATTAAGGTCCTGGAGTGGCCTAGCCAGTCTCCAGACCTTAATCCCATAGACAATCTGTGGAGGGAGCTGAAGGTTCGAGTTGCCAAACATCAGCCTCGAAACCTTAATGACTTGGAGAATATCTGCAAAGAGTGGGACAAAATCCCTCCTGAGATCCTGTGCAAACCTGGTGGCCAACTACAAGAAACGTCTGACCTCTGTGATTGCCAACAAGGGTTTTGCCACCAAGTACTAAGTCATGTTTTGCAGAGGGGTCAAATACTTATTTCCCTCATTAAAATGCAAATCAATTTCTAACATTTTTGACCTGCGTTTTTCTGGATTTTTTTGTTGTTATTCTGTCTCTCACTGTTAAAATAAACCTACCATTAAAATTATAGACTGATCATGTCTTTGTCAGTGGGCAAATGTACAAAATCAGCAGGGGATCAAATACTTTTTTCCCTCACTGTAAGTACTGCAAACAATGAACACAGTTTTCCCCCCTCTGACATCATTGCATACGTGATAGAACAGCAGAATATGTATTCCAAAAAAATGTTGCACGTTGTGCGACGCTCCTCACCTCAGCTTCGTCAACAAAAAATAAACAGTAACGGCAGTGGGGCAGACAGTGGTGATGTTTCCCCTACTGCAGATTCCATCTTTAACAGTAAAGTTGATGAGAAGACTGGATCCAAAATATACAAATGCAGAAAATGTTTTGACAAAAATAATTAACTTGAAAAACAAACTTACTTGGCCAACAGCAAAATTACCTCAACTCGAGGAGGACTAAGGCAAAACGTCTCAAACACAGGGCAAAACGCCTATAAACTCACACATCTGAGTATATGGCAGAGGTATAGCAACAGCGTGTTACCTAGACAAGCAGCTGAATGAGGTGAACAGGGATCCTAAAAGGACCTACCCTCATCTGGCATATTGCAGATCTTTTAACACCAAGGCTTTTATTTACTAGCATTGGCCTATAATGCTACTAGCTAATCTAGGTGTGTAACACCATTTGTTTAGCATACGGTTGAAGTCTGAAGTTTACATACACCTTAGCCAAATACATTTAAACTCAGTTCTTCACAATCCCTGACATTTAATCCTAGTAAAAATTCCCTGTCTTAGGTCAGTTAGGATCACCACTTTATTTTTTAGAAATGTCAGAATAATAGCAGAGAGAGTGATTTATTTCAGCTTTTATTTCTTTCATCACATTCCCAGTGGGTCAGAAGTTTACATACACTCAATTAGTATTTGGTAGCATTGCCTTTAAATTGTTTAACTTGGGTCAAATGTTTCGGGTAGCCTTCCACAAGCTTCCCACAATAAGTTGGATGAAGTTTGGCCCATTCCTCCTGACAGAGCTGGTGTAACTGAGTCAGATTTGTAGGCCTCCTTGCTCGCACACGCTTTTTTAGTTCTGCCCACACATTTTATATAGGATTGAGGTCAGGGCTTTGCGATGGCCACTCCAATACCTTGACTTTGTTGCCCTTAAGCCATTTTGCCACAACTTTGGAAGTATGCTTCGGGTCATTGTCCAATTGGAAGACCCATTTGCGACCAAGCTTTAACTTCCTGACTGATGTCTTGAGATGTTGCTTCAATATATCCACATAAGTTTCCTTCCTCATGATGACATCTATTTTGTGAAGTGCACCAGTCCCTCCTGCAGCAAAGCACCCCCACAGCATGATGCTGCCACCCCCGTGCTTCATGGTTGGGATGGTGTTCTTCGGCTTGCAAGTTATCCGCTTTTTCCTCCAAACATAACGATGGTCATTATGGCCAAACAGTTCTATTTTTGTTTCATCAGACCAGAGGACATTTCTCCAAAAAGTACGATCTTTGTCCCCATGTGCAGTTGCAAACTGTAGTCTGGCTTTTTTATGATGGTTTTGGAGCAGTGGCTTCTTCCTTGCTGAGCGGCCTTTCAGGTTATGTCGATATAGGACTTGTTTTACTGTGGATATAGATACTTTTGTACCTGTTTCCTCCAGCATCTTCACAAGGTCCTTTGCTGTTGTTCTAGGATTGATTTGCACTTTTCGCACCAAAGTACGTTCATCTCTAGGAGACAGAACGCGTCTCCTTCCTGAGCAGTATGACGGCTGTGTGGTCCCATGGTGTTTATACTTGCGTACTATTGTTTGTATAGATGAACGTGGTACCTTCAGGCGTTTGGAAAACGCTCCCAAGGATGAACCAGACTTGTGGAGGTCTACAATCTTCTTCTGAGGTCTTGGCTGATTTCTTTTGATTTTCCCATGATGTCAAGCAAAGAGGCACTGAGTTTGAAGGTAGACCTTGAAATACATCCACAGGTACACCTCCAATTGACTCCAATGATGTCAATTAGCCTATCAGATGCTTCTAAAGCCATGACATCATTTTCTGGAATTTTCCAAGCTGTTTAAAGGCACAGTCAACTTAGTGTATGTAAACTTCTTACCCACTGGAATAGTGATACAGTGAATTATAAGTGAAATAATCTGTCTGTAAACAATTGTTGGAAAATGTACTTGTGTCATGCGCAAAGTAGATGTCCTAACCGACTTGCCAAAACTATACTTTGTCAACAAGAAATTTGTGGAGTGGTTGAAAAACGAGTTTTAATGACTCCAACCTAAGTGTATGTAAACTTCCGACTTCAACTGTAGGTTCTCATACAGAAGAGCCAACACGATGCCAAATAATCAACAAATACTAGGGAAGGATATCTGTTTATAAATGGTAAACCATGATTTTACAATATCACTAATAACCAGCAACAGGTATTGTGTTTGCAAAAAAAACTGTTGACGTGTAAAAGCATTGGTAGTGTGGATGAGATGGGTACCTGACTCACTGTGTCTCTGTGTGTTCTTCTGCAGATAGAGGCCTCAGGCCAGGTGTCTGAGCTCCATCTCTATAACCTCTCCTCCCTGGACAACAACTGTAAGATCACCTGCAGTGCTGGGAACATTGTGGGCGAGAATGAGTCCACAGTTCTCCTCAACATCCTCTGTGAGTTCCAAACATGACTCACATCTCTAGACAAGAGGGGGAAAGAATGAGAATAATACCTACCTTAACTCGTTCCCGCTTCTTTTTCCCCCTCCTATGGCTTCTCCTATCTCACTCACTCACTCACTCACTCACTCACTCACTCACTCACTCACTCACTCACTCACTCCCTCACCCGCTAACTCACTGACCCGTTCTCTCTCTCTCTCTCTCTCAGTTCCTCCTAACATCAGTAAGTTGAGCGATGCCTACCAGGACCACCACTGGTGCATCCCATTCAGTATGTCTGGGAACCCAAAGCCCAAGCTCCGCTGGCTGTTAAACGGGGAGCCGGTCAATGAGGGACCCTACATCATGACCATGATCCATGACTTCTCTGAGAGGGAGTACCACGGCTGCCTGCAGCTGGACAGCCCCACACACATCAACAACGGACCGTACACCCTGCTGGCCAGCAACAACTACGGACAGGACCGCAAGACCGTCGATGCCCACTTCATGCGCGACCCCTTTGAGGGAGGTATGTGTTGTGTAGTGTAACCACTTTCTGAATCTCAATTCAACCCCTATCCCACTTGTTTCAATCTGAGAGGATTGGATAGTCTGCAATATGGCAACAACTCCCCCTGGCCTATCAAATGGTAAGACTGAGCAATTACCATATTGTTTACACCTATCTGTCCAATCCTCTCAGATCTACTCAAGTTATTAGGAGCTAGGGGTCGAATTGCACATAGGACGGGTGTCAAACTCAATTCCTTGAGGGCCGTGTGTCTGTTAGTTTTTGTTACGGTAATTAGACTGAAAAATATATAAACACAACATGTAAAGTGTTGGTCCCATGTTTCAAGAGCTGATATAAAAGATCCCAGAAATTTTACATACGCACAAAAAGTATATTTCTCTCAGATTCTGTGCACAAATTTGTTTACATCCATGTTAGTGAGCATTTCTTCTTTGCCAAGATAATCCATCCACCTGACATGTGTGGCATATCAAGAAGATGATTAAACAGCATGATCATTACACAGGTACACCTTGTGTTGGGGACAATAAAAGGCCACTCTAAAATGTGAGGTTTTGTCACAAAACACAATGCCACAGATGTCTCAAGTTTTGAGGGTGTGTGCAATTGGCATGCTGACTGCAGGAATGTCCACCAGAGCTGTTGCCAGAGAATGTAATGTTCATTTCTCTACCATAAGCCGTGTCCAGCGTCGTTTTAGATCATTTTGCAGTACGTCCAACCGGCCTCACAACCGCAGACCATGTGTAACCATGACAGCCCAGAACCTCCACATCTGGCTTCTTCACCTGCGGGATCGTCTGAGACCAGCCACCTGGACAGCTGATGAAACTTTTGTGGTGAAAAACTTATTCTGATTGGCTGGACCTGGCTCCCGAGTGGGTGGGCCTATGCCTTCCCAGGCCCACCCATGGCTGTGCCCCTGCCTAGTCATGTGAAATCCATAGATTAGGGCCTAAGGAATTTATTTCAATTGGCTGATTTCCTTATAGGAACTGTAACTCAAATTGTTGCATGTTGCGTTTAAATTTTTGTTCAGTATATTTTCAATTGGTGTCCAATTAAGACCTAGACAAGCAGGTGAGCTGAGTTCTTAACTAATCTATGACCTTTATTGATCAATCAAGTGCTTTTTTTATTTTACCCAACAGGAACAGTGACAGAACCTCTTTACTATGGTGAGTTGCTGTTCAAATATTTACATGGAACATTGACTGTCTAAATTACTCATTGAACTATTTAGAATTAAACATTGTTCTTTCCTTTTTATGAATAAAATATGTCCTGAGGATTATTGACTTGAGAAATGCTTTGGAAACTGATTTCTGAGCTTTGCTTTTTGTGTTATAGAGTGTTAATACTTTATTTTCTCTTCTCTCTCCTCATGTCACACTGTCTCTGGGCACCACAGACCCAACTACAGGTATAGTCACTGTCCCTTCTCATGACCGATTCACACAGCAGAGCTTTCAAAGTCACCCTGACACATTCATAGAGGGAACACTTTACTTGAAGGGTACCTTCATAAGGACTTCATAACACATTTATAACCCAACCCATATATACAGTGAGGGAAAAAAGTATTTGATCCCCTGCTGATTTTGTACGTTTGCCCACTGACAAAGAAATGATCAGTCTATAATTTTAATGGTAGGTTTATTTGAATAGTGAGAGACAGAATAACAACAAAAAAATCCAGAAAAACGCATGTCAAAAATGTTATAAATTGATTTGCATTTTAATGAGGGAAATATGTAGGTACACGTGTTACCCACAGGGACAGACATATTTGATGAACTACATTTTTTAAATGAGGGATACTTTAGCATCTGCTGTCTTCTCTTCTCTTTGAAAACAGATGACACACCTCTAGATCCACCAGAAGACAGAGTTGCTGTAAGTCACACTCGAAGACACCTTATGTGCTTGTTTTGTGTTTGTGTGAGCCTTAAACTGTTGTGGGAGCAGTGCTGTTGTGGGAGCAATACATTTGTATTTAATGTTTTAATATAGTATTTTTTACCAGTACTATATTATTAATAGTACTATATAGTGTGTTTATAGTTGACAGTATGTTTATGTTTCATACATTTACAGTGCATTCGGAAAGTATTCAGACCCCTTGACTTTTTCCACATTTTGTTATGTTACAGCCTTGTTCTATTCATCAAACTACACAAAATACTCAGGTTTTTAGAAATTATAAATAAATATATTTAAAAAATTAAATATCTAATTTACATAATTATTCAGACCCTTTACTCAGTACTTTGTTGAAGCACCTTTGGCAGCGATTACAGCCTTGAGTCTTCTTGGGTATGAAGCTACAAGCTTGGCACGCCTGTATTTGGGGAGTTTCTCCCATTCTTCTCTGCAGATCCTTTCAAGCTCTGTCAGGTTGGATGGGGAGTGTCGCTGCACAGCTATATTCAAGTCTTTCCAGAGATGTTCGATCGGGTTCAAGTCCGGGCTCTGGCTGGGCCACTCAAAGACATTCAGAGATTTGTCCCAAAGCCACTCCTGCGTTGTTTTGGCTGTGTGCTTAGGGTCGTTGTCCTGTTGGAAGGTGAACCTTCGCCCCAGTCTGAGGTCCTGAGCGCTCTGGAGTAGGTTTTCATCAAGGATCTCTCTGTACTTTGCTTCGTTCATCATTCCCTCAATCTTGACTAGTCTCCCAGTCCCTGCCGCTGAAAAACATCCCCACAGCATGACGCTGCCACCACCATGCTTCACCATAGGGATGGTGTCAAGTTCCCTCCAGACGTGACGCTTGGCATTCAGGCCAAAGAGTTCAATCTTGGTTTCATCAGACCAGAGAATCTTGTTTCTAATGGTCTGAGAGTCTTTAGGTGCCCTTTGGCAAACTCCAAGCGGGCTTTCATGTGCCTTTTACTGAGGAGTGGCTTCCGCCTGGCCACTCTACCATAAAGGCCTGATTGGTAGAGTGCTGCAGAGATGGTTGTCCTTCTGGAAGGTTTTCCCATCTCCACAGATGAACTCTGGAGCTCTGTCAGAGTGACCATAGGGTTCTTGGTCACCTCCCTGACCAAGGCCCTTCTCCCCCGATTGCTCAGTTTGGCCGGGCGGCCAGCTCTATGAAGAGTCTTGGTGGTTCCAAACGTCTTCCATTTAAGAATGATGGAGGCCACTTTATTCTTGGCAGAAATTCTTTGGTACCCTTTCCCAGATCAGTGCCTCGACACAATCCTGTCTCGGAGCTCTACGGACAATGCCTTTCTAAATCATGTCCAATTAATTGAATTTACCACAGGTGGACTTCAATCAAGTTGTAGAAACATCTCAAGGATGATCAATGGAAACAGGATGCACCTGTGCTCAATTTCGAGTCTCATAGCAAAGGGTCTGAATACCTATGTAAATAAGGTATTTCTGTTTTTTATTTGCAACAATTTCTAAAAACCTGTTTTCGCTTTGTCATTATGGGGTATTGTGTGTAGATTGATGAGGAAAACATTTTATTTAATCCATTTTAGAATAAGGCTGTAACTTAACAAAATGTAGAAAAAGTCAATGGGTCTGAATACTTATCGAATGCACTGTATGTTTAATGTTTTTATATGGTAGGTGTCATGTATCTTGGTGGTAGTAGGCTACACACTGTGACACATTGTATTTTGGAGTTGCAGTGGTGGTCCTAGCTCAACAGCCATGTCATTCTTTCAGATATACGTGGTTGTAGGGGTTGCAGCCGTAGCCTTCACGGGTTTCCTCTTGATGCTGGTCATCCTAAAATTTGGGGGAAACTCAAAGTTTGGAATCAAAGGTAAGTCCCTTTACACAGTAAACTACTGTAGCCTATGTCAATCATTAGCATTGAAAGACAGGGTCTTTCTCTCAAATCTGAAATGGCACCCTATTCCCTAAATAGTGCACTTCTTTTGGCACTGGCACTGTATAGGAAGTAGGGTGACATTTGGGATTAACCCATAGAGTGGGGTCTGAATGGTGGTAAAGAGGTACTCAGATGTTGCTGGTGAATAACATGCATTTGGATCTCATTGATCCATCTCAATGTCTTGTTCCACACTAATCATCCCACAAAACTTTATTGTGCGTCCCAATATGCAGATAATGCTGCATTGTAGCCCATCTCTGTCTTTACTGATGCTGTTGTTGTCTAACGCAATTTGTTGTCTAACTTATTTAAGATGATTTAGATACTAACCGACATGAGCAGAAACAGTGGAGGAGTCAATTCACTCTCACTCAAATCTCTTAGTTTGTACTAATTCTGAACCATACTGGAAAATGATGATCAAAGTGTGACTATGGCTTCTAAAACCATTTTTGAAAGTGCTATCCTGAAATCCTCTGTCTGCAATGGATTGAATCCCGACCTGAGTGTGTATGAGTGTGTGTATTTTGGATAAGATTGTGTATGTAGGAGTCTGGGAAGACCAGAGCTGCCTCAATGTGGTCTGTTATTTTGACACTGATTGATTTATTGCCCCTCTGAGGGGGACAGGTGTGAAAGAAGCGGGAGAGAGGGAGTAGTGGTTTCTCCTTTCTTCTGCGGAAGTAGAGGATGAGGTTCCACTGGAGGCGTCGATTCCTCTCCTCCCTCTCAACACCTTCCCTTGCAGTGCATACGTGTACAGTGTGTGTGTGCGTAAATGTGTGTGTGCGCGCGTGTGTGTATTTGTGTGCGCGCATCTTAGTAGGAAGTTAGCTCGAGTTTCAGCATTGCCTCGAGTCTCTCGCTCTTCACTGCATTTCCTATCCTTTCCTTTCTGGTGGAGGAAGTGACACTCCTGTCACTCAAAAGCATGATACACACGAAAAGCAAAGTCTATGTGAGACTTGAAATGCCCAAGACAAACATTTTCACTTTTAGACACACACACACATAGGACAGAATGGATGTACAATTATGTGCAATACGAAAGGTGTGAAGAGAATGTAGTGAGCCCTGTTCTGTTTGTGCTCAGTCAACTGTTCAGGGACATGTGAAAGTGAGACAAGTAGACACACTTTCTCTAGACGCCTCAGTACACACACACAAAAGGGTGTACATGGTTGCTTGCATTTTTCATATCATCCTGCTACTGCTCTTTTGTCATAAATAAGACATGGTGTACAGTAAGGATCAGAGATACTGTCTCTTACTCTATACTGTCTATGTGTGTGTAGATTTAGGTTGTTTTTGTATTTTATAGTTTGTTAGAGTCAATATGGCACAACGGCAATGAGTAACCTTGCCAAAGACCAGAAGCGTCAATACAGGACTAAGATTGAATCATACTACACCGGCTCCGACGCTCGTCGGATGTGGCAGGGCTTGCAAACTACTACAGACTACAAAGGGAAGCACAGCCGCAAGCTGCCCAGTTACACGACCCTACCAGACGAGCTAAATCACTTCTATGCTCGCTTCGAGGCAAGCAACACTGAAGCATGCATGAGAGCATCAGCTGTTCCGGACGACTGTGTGATCACGCACTCCGTAGCCGATGTGAGTAAGACCTTTAAACAGGTCAACATTCACAAGGCTGCAGGGCCAGAAAGATTACCAGGACGTGTACTTCGAGCATGCGCTGACCAACTGGCAAGTGTCTTCACAGACATTTTCAACCCTGACTGAGTCTGTAATACCAACATGTTTCAAGCAGACCATCATAGTCCCTGTGCCCAAGAACACTAAGGTAACCTGCCTAAATGACCACAGACCCGTAGCACTCACATCTGTAGCCGTGAAGTGCTTTGAAAGGCTGGTCATGGCTCACATCAACACCATTATCCCAGAAACCCTAGACCCACTCCAATTTGCAAACCACCCCAACAGCTCCACAGATGATGCAATCTCTATTGCACTCCACACTGCCCTTTCCCACCTGGACAAAAGGAATACCTATGTGAGAATGCTATTCATTGACTACAGCTCAGCGTTCAACACCATAGTGCCCTCAAAGCTCATCACAAAGCTAAGGACCCTGGGACTAAACACCTCCCTCTGCAACTGGATCCTGGACTTCCTGACGGGCCGCCCCAGGTGGTAAGGGTAGGTAACAACACATCTGCCACGCTGATCCTCAACACGGGGGCCCCTCAGGGGTGAGTGCTCAGTCCCCTCGTGTACTCCCTGTTCACCCATGACTGCATGGCCAGGCACGACTCCAACACCATCATTAAGTTTGCCGATGACACAACAGTGGTAGGCCTGATCACCGACAACGATGAGACAGCCTATTCCGAAGGTCAGAGACCTGGCCGTGTGGTGCCAAGATAACAATCTCTCCCTCAACGTGATTAAGACAAAGGAGATGATTGTGGACTACAGCAAAAGAAGGACCGAGCATGCCCCCATTCTCATCAATGGGGCTGTAGTGGAGCAGGTTGAGAGCTTCAAGTTCCTTGGTGTCCACATCACCAACAAACTATCATGGTCCAAACACACCAAGACAGTCGTGAAGAAGGCACGACAAAGCCTATTCCCCCTCAGGAGACTGAAAAGATTTGGCATGGGTCCTCAGATCCTCAAAAAGTTCTACATCTGCACCATCGAGAGCATCCTGACTGGTTGCATCACTGCCTGGTATGGCAACTGCTCGGTCTCCGACCGCAAGGCACTACAGAGGGTAATGTGTACGGCCCAGTACATCACTGGGGCCAAGCTTCCTGCCATCCAGGACCTCTATACCAGGCGGTGTCAGAGGAAGGCCCTAACAATTGTCAAAGACTCCAGCCACCCTAGTCATAGATTGTTCTCTCTGCTACCGCACGGCAAGCAGTACCGGAGTGCCAAGTCTAGGTCCTAAAGGCTTCTTAACAGCTTCTTCCCCCAAGCCATAAGACTCCTGAACAGCTAATCAAATGGTTACCCGGACTATTTGCATTGTCCCCCACCCCCCACCCCCTCTTTTACACTGCTGCTACTCTCTGTTTATTATCTATGCATTGTCACTTTAACTATACCTACATGTACATATTACCTCAATTACCTCGACTAACCGGTGCCCCTGCACATTGACTCTGTACCGGTACCCCCTGTATATAGCCTCGCTACTATTTTACTGCTTTTATTTTTTACCTATCTATTGTTTACGCAACACTTATTTTGCTTAAAACTGCATTGTTGGTTAAGGGCTTGTAAGTAAGCATTTCACTGTAAGGTCTACACCTGTTGTATTTGGCGCATGTGACAAATAAAATAGGATTTGATTTGACATGCATGCGTGTGTGTGTGTCCAGAGTGTTAAGGAGTCCGATTTCTGTGTTACCAACTCAGAAAATGTAGTCTCTGTATAGATAGAATAAGTCCTAAGAAAAAAATCTGTGGTGGGTGTCAGAGAAAAGCGATTGTCAGGTATTGGTAAAATGTCCCTTCTAAATCTGTTTGTTTGCCAAAATACATTTAAATTAGAATATTTGTCTGAACACTTGGAATTGGTCTTTACAAATATGTCGTTTCATGACAAAACAGACCTAACCTCTTTGAACTTCCTCTGGAACTGAAAAAAAGAGAGAAGAGCAGCGGAGAAAGACCGACAGCGAGAGAGCTATCAGGGACGAGAGAGGGAGAGAGGGAGAGAGCACTCCTGTATGCTTATCAATGATTCAGGAGGGCAGGTATCAGTTTTCTCTGGGTTTGGAAGAGTGCCGGACGATCAATACATCTCTCTCAAGGTCAGAAGTATCTCTGATCGGACTCTATAGAGCATGCTCACTCTGCGTGTCCTCCTCCTCCTGCAGTGCACACTTAGGCCCCGTTCAATTATCAAACACCTGCCCTCATGGACCTACCTCACTACCTGCACTACCCCTATGGGGAATAGGATCTGTACAGAATGGGGCTCATGGTTCCAGAGGTCTTCAGAGGCCCACAAGCACATGTAGTGGAGGAACTTCACAGGCACAACGGCAATGAGTAACCTTGCCAAAGACCAGGAGCTTTAGCTTAATGGGCTATCCATCTTGAAGTACGCAGATGACCTAGGTATTTGGTATTTTATTAGGATCCCCATTAGCTGTAGCGAAAGCAGCTGCTACTCTTCCTGGGGTCTACACGAAACATGAAACATGACATAATAAAGAACATTAATAGACAAGAACAGCTCAAGGACAGAACTATATCAATTTTAAAATGGCACACGTAGCCTTCATATCAATACATACACACTAACTATCTAGGTCAAATAAGGGAGAGGCGTTGTGCTGTGAAGTGTTGCTTTATCTATTTTTTTAAACCAGGTTTGTTGTTCATTTGAGCAATATGAGATGGAAGGGAGTTCCATGCAATAATGTCTCGATACCTGGTAGGATGCAAGCATGATTCAGGCACACACACACACACACACACACACACTGTTCCCCCTGAGTGCTTGAGATGTGTGTGGAATGCTTTTGTGACAGCCTGTGGGTTTTTGGCGTCACTCATCTATCCTCGGTCAATCACAGATAAAGTGCCCACTTGAGAGGTCAGAGGTCAATGTGTGTGTGAGAGAGAGGTGCCGACTGGACAGGAAACAGCAGATCTCCTTCCTCTCCCATAGCGACAGGAAATGTCTCGTTGTTGCTGAGTGTGTTTGAGGATTACCGCATGGCCTAGTGACAACCTTCTATTCAAATTGCTAGAGCAGTTTTTTCTGCTCAGGCCACATAGAGAGGAAAAACTCCTGGCCCTATGACATCATGAGTTTTTACTTGGGCTCACTCCTCCTGCTTTCCCTGAACAAGTTGTTATTTGCGTCAATGGCCTTTATGGTGGACCTTGATCATTTTGGCAGCATTGTAAATGTCCTATAATTAGTTTGTATTTATCGAGCGGCTAT